ACCTACTGTATAATTTGTTATTTATTTATTTATTTATTTATTTATATAAAATTTATATAGCCAACTACTCACTCACAGCGACTCTTGGTGGCTTACAAACAGTAAAAAAAACATTATTTTTTTTAAAAAAATAATGTTTTTTTTACTGTTTGTAAGCCACCAAGAGTCGCTGTGAGTGAGTAGTTGGCTATATAAATTTTATATAAATAAATAAATAAATAAATAAATATCAAATTATACAGTAGGTTAAGATTTTTCCTTATTTATATTGGATACATATCAATTTAAAACACCTTACAGCTTTTGTCTTTCCAATTGTCCTAGCACATTTTACTCAATTAGTCTTCTCCCTTCCAGCATTTGGTAATAATTTTTGATAGCTGAGAATTAATTATTGCTACTCACATTCTCATTATGTGAACATTATTTTGCATGTATAAAAATTGTACTTCTTTTTTCATCAAAACTTCATTAAATATAAATATTATTCTTGTTATTTTTCTTATTTTTCTTAGGATGTAAAAGCTAAAGTGTATTGACACTTGTAAACACTTGAGCCTTTTTTCTTATGTCCCAGATGTTATAACATTTATTAAAGAGGCCTGAAGGAAACTGTTAACAAATGGACACAGGAAATAAATAAATAGAATGTGAGGCTGTTGGCATACAATTTGCCTGTATGTGGTGATGTTTCACCACATTTTATAGGTTAGTTAAACAATTAAAGAGAGGTAAAATTAATGCTGAATAAGATGTCATTGCTTTAAAATATATAACAGAAATATAGACTACCATAAAATGTTTAAATAATTTAAAATGATTATTTTAAATAAAAATAATCATATATTTCCATAATACATTTTTATAAATTGTAATAAACATTATTTCTTTGGCTTGGTTTTGATTGTCTGATGCTTTATCATTGTCATATTGTTGTATGAGTAATGATGTAATTGATTAGTAACAAAATAATTGTAAGCATTATTTAAAGCCAAATTAAAATATTTTAAAATTATTTGTGTATATGTATGTATGAGCATATGCACTGTTAACTTAAAATTCAAACTACAAACCAGATTCTTTAAAAACATATCTTTTCCCATCTGTATGTTTCTGTTTCCGTTTATATCCAATGTAAAAACATCATGAACTTTTATTAACACATTTATTGTTCCAGTATCTCTTAACAAAATCAAATGTTTAAAGATTAGATTGAAATTCTGAAATTATTTATTCCTGGAATAATAATCCTTTATAAGAAGTTGGACGGAAAAATTCCAACTCCATATGGGTGAGTGGGAACTTGTCTTCTACCTTCTTCTAGAGGTTGAACTGATGTAAGTTCAACCTCTACATCAAGGGCATCTTCATATGTATTTATGTTATTTGTTCATACATCCTTTTTCAAGTCAGACAGATTTTATTTTTCATAGCCAATTCCAACATAGTTTTAATAAATAAATGAATATAAATTTTTAAAGACATAACTAGAGACAAGTAGATTTCTGAAACAAACAGAGAAGAGTTTAACAATGGAAGAATAGTAGCCGCAAGTTCCCTAGACAGAGGGCGATAACCTCACTTAAAAAGGAAAATGAGAAAGACTGAATTATTTAAAAGACAAAGGAAGTGTACTAGTTCTTAGCAATAGTAAGATGAATAGCAGAGCTAGATAAAAAGGTTTTAAAATATTGTTGGTAATCTTTTTTTTCTCATTAGGTGGAGAAGGGAACACAGGTGAGAGGGGAAATGCAGTCACTAACTGCTAAAGCTTAACTTGCTCCAGATTGAACTGTCACTAAGGCAGAATAGAGTTAAGCCATGGAGACACAGCAAAATAGTTGGCATATTTTCTGCCAGCTCATGAATGGGAAGAGAGCACATTAAATCATCTCTCTGGATAAGCCCAGAGAAGGAAAATAAGATTATCAACTTAATATTAAATATTCCTAAATGATCACATAGATACAATACATATCTGAATTACAGGAGGACTCAAGCGAAGCAATTTATCATATAACTGAACACTTATATATTCTTCTTCAGAGAAGAAAGGTAAAGGCCCAAAAAAAAAAAATCTGAATAAAAGTAACCCTGATTCAAAGAGACTTTTTAACTATGACACTAAATAAATTATGGAAGATGATTTTAGTTTCCGATATCTATAGGTAGTATCAATCACCAGGCAGGATTGAGGCTCTGTATGTACATTTTTGTTTTTATTATTTTGCTAACAATCATAAAAAAACAGCTCCATGTAAGCTGGTAACAGTTCTCTTAGAAGGAGGTTCATTAAGCGTTTGCCGAGTTCTTAAACAGCTGCAGGTGCTTTTATGATCAAAGTTCTTATGACCATATTACAGTCTACTTCAATCTATCCATTAGTCCATTATCCATTCAGTCTTATTCTTGCATTTTTTTTAAAGTAGCATTTTATGCTTGGGTCTAACAGTACTTATTATCAGATTTTTAATGAATATTATCATTTGATGAATCACAGTTCTATTTTATGTCCAAATTCCAAATTATTTGTTTCTTGATAATTTATATTATTTTGTGTGGCTGGTCAAAAAGTTCAAGGTGCTAAATTGAAATTTTGACCTAGTGCATCTAATTGGGAAAGTTCAAAATAAATAGTAATACATTTTTGTCCCTGAATTCTTTTTTAAATAATTAAAGATTATGTTACAAAAATCTAATCCAATATAAATAATTTAATATACATAGAAATAAAAAAAATGAAAAGTGCAGAAAAAAAGAAAAGAAAGAAGAAACATCCCCCTTAATCCCCAGCAAATCAACAGTTTATCATTTTCTCTTTTAAAAAACCCATCTCCTCATCCCACATCTCATCCTACTCTCTATAAGCCAATCTTTAAAGTGTCATCACTCCATCTTGTTCAACAAAAGTCTATTAAGGGTTGCAAGAAATAAAAACATAACTATTACAAACTATATCTAATACTCTAATTTTGAATACTTCATTTGACATTTATATTCCTTTTCTGTTTAACCTCTCACTTTTTTTTCAAATAAACAAAATCTTTAAAACATTATCATCAACAAAAACCTATGAAACATTTATTTTAGCCTTGATCAAATAAACCAGTTTTCTACTCTTTACTCTTACCAAAGCAATTTTAAATATTCTCAATATCCTATCTTCTGCTTTCTTTTCATGTTTTCTGTAATTTCTAGAATTGTTGGTATTATTAACAAGCCCTTTTATAATTTAGTACAAAAAAGTTCATACTCTCACTATTTCTTCTCATGAAATCATTAATGACTTCAACAAGTTCCTTTTGTAAATATAATAGAAAAAAGTTGTCCATATGAGTATTCAGGTTTAGGATTTATGTATAATTGTTACCCGTATTTTCACCCATAAAACCCGCGGGTTATATGCGTTTTTTACATGCACAGCGCCCCCCTGCGGGGTATAAAAGTGGGCGGGGTATACGTAAAATATTTTACACAGATTAACTAANGTGTGTGTGTGTGTCGGTAGAGAAGGTACTGTTGGAAGAAGAAGGGCCCTGGCCGAGTCGCAGGCCAGACTTTGAGAAGAAGAGGCTTCTCCTCCTTCGTTTTTTTCCTCCCTGCGTGAGATAAAAATGCAAATTATTCTCCCGGCAGCTTCCAGGCTGGTCGAGGCTGCTCCCCTATTTCTATCAGGCTTGGTTCAGTTTGCACGTGATGTACAGGTGGAACTGGGTGTGAATCATGCTTCGTTTGTAAGCACCCGAGTGAGGATTTGGACCTTGGCGGGTTTGGGACCTGGTGCCCTGCCAGGATGCCATCTAAGAGTTCAGATTCTGTGCGCACTTTCAGAAAGGACCATTTCTAGGGAATTTCTTAGAGGGAGAGAGATAGCCTTTGGAGGCCTGGCTGGCCTGGGCTCCCCCAGAGTTAGGTCTAGTTAACCCCAGGATGCCCCACAGCTGTGGGGCAGAGGGAAGGCGAGGGTGCCAAAGGGCAGCCAGAGAAGCAGGAGAGAGAGCCCTGACTTGGGCTAGGCCAGAGGTGGCAGCCGGCTGACCTTGGCTGACCTTGGGAAGCTGCCGAGGAGCCGGTCAACCGGGAGGAAGGAGGGAAAGGCCTCCCGTTAAGGGCCTCCTCCGCTTCCAGTTGTGCCTTCGATGGGGAGGGATGACAGGACCCCAGTCAAAGCAGCTCCTCTGGACGCTGCAAGAAGAATCCAGGCCGGGGTTTCTTTGGCCTTTCCAGCCCAGCCTTGCAGGGGGGGAGGCTTTCCCTTGCCTGGCCTACCTCGCAGGGCGAGTGTCCAGACAGAAGCGGGTGGAGAGGAGAGGCCCGGGCCGGCTCCTCCGCCTCCACCCCCGGGGCGGTGTGCGGGAGGGAGGGCGGCCGCTGCGCCTTTAAGGCCCCCTGCTTAACATGCTCGGCGCTGCTGCCGCGGCCCTGCGCCCCGATTGGCTGCGGCGCGGCGAACGGGAGCGGCGGGGCGAGCGCGATGCTCTGCCTTCCCCCTTTCCCGTCCAGGGAGCGCAGGCAGCGGCGGCGGCNGGATTGGACTGCCGGAATACCCCCAATCAGCTGTTCCAGGCTGCAGGGATTGCCACAGACCATCGCTGCCTCCATGCCTCGTGTTTTTGGCCTCTAGTGGAAGTGGATGGGGCTACATTCGGTATATAAGACGCGCCCAAATTTTCACTCTTTTTTGTGGGGGAAAGGTGCGTCTTATACTTTGAGAAATACAGTAAATAGCTATTGCAGCAAAATTCCCAGATATTTTACTTCTCCATGTTGAAACTGGAGCCGTTGCAGCCCTTCAGAGCTCCATAACAAACAAACACAACAAAAAAGGAGTAAACGAACCTAAAACTATGCTCATCGTTTGCATTATCAGAAAAATATTTATGGAGGGATTTGATTTTTTTTTAAAAATCCCATCTCTTAGAACACAGGTGTCAAACTCACCACGTCACATTGATATCACGTGACATTGTGATGTTTTTTGCCTTTGTAGAGCTGCGGTGGGCATGGCCGGCGCGTGACGCATCCGGCCCGCAGGTCGCCAGTTTGACACCCTTGTCTTAGAAGGTAATGGAGTTTACTTCCAAGATTAACTCACTACTATGCTACATTTCTAACTATTATTTAAATGCTGTAAAAAATGATCCATGAATTCCAGGTTTAAATAACTCTTCCACATGATAAAATTAATAGATTCTCACCACAGCTTATATGATTCCAATTCAAATAAACTTGCTCCTGTACAAATGGAGAATAATCTGTTCTTTGAGCTTCCTGTTGCCCTTGCTGGATCATGTGGAAATGTTAATGTGTCAGAAGATTGACAGTTCTAATGATTGTGTATTTTCATGATAGGTTGTTGAAGAATGTTTGTTCCCAGATCTCTCAAGGTCAAGAGGAATGCTGTTGATGAGGAGTGTTGTGTCGCGAAAACCCCCAAATCTTCCCACAATGAATCTGCATCGGAAAAGCCTATAGAACTTGGAGATTCCAGGTCTGACATCATAAATGCAGCAACTGTTGAGACTGATGCATTGAAATCAACAGAAGGACACAGTGCGCCACAGATATTTTCAGATTCAACTCTGGCCCTTACTGAATCAGAGTCAGAAAACAACGAGGACTCTTGTGATACAGAGGAACCCATAAAATCTTTCAGTAAAACTCAGCGCTGGCCACAGTCTGGGGAACCTGTATGCGTGGTCTGTGGCCGGTATGGGGAGTACATCTGTGACAAGACTGATGAAGATGTATGCAGTTTGGAATGTAAAGCCAAGCACCTTCTACAATTCAAAGGAGAGGAGGAAACCTCAAAGCCTACTAAGAGTGAGCAAGCCGTCTCTCATCCCACCTTACCTGATGCCGCTTATGCGTACGAAGAGAATGAATTCCTGTTAAGCCTTGAGGAGGAGCAGATCGAAGGCTTAAAACAGCAGCTGGGCATCGCTGTCGAAGGGCAAGGAGTTGCGAGACCCATTGTTGAGTTTGAACATTGTGGCTTCCCGGAAATTCTCAGCAGCAATTTAAAAAAAGCCGGCTATGAAGTCCCAACCCCTGTCCAGATGCAGATGATTCCAGTTGGGCTACAGGGCAGGGATATTGTGGCCACTGCAGACACCGGCTCGGGGAAAACTGCAGCTTTCCTGCTTCCTGTTATAATGAAAGCTTCAGAAGAGGTAACCTTTGCTCATTGAGAGGACCCACGTTTATTGAGAAGAATTGTTCAGAGCATTCCAAGGCATTTGAGAAATTCCGCATAAGGTTTTTGAAATTTGAAATTTAATAGAATTTGTATGCCGCCCAATCCCATGGGACTCTGGGCGGCTTACAGAGCAAGATAAAAAAACATTAAAAAAAATAAGAATAAAAATACAGTTGTTAAAATTACATACCATCCATTCTGTCTAAGTGGGGCTGGACATTGATCAACAGCCCCAGGCCTAACGGAACAGCCAGGTTTTAATGGCTTTTCAGAAGGCCGGGAGGGTGGGGAGGGTCCAGATCTCTATGGGTAGATCGTTCCACAGGGCTGGCGCAGCTACAGAGAAGGCCCTCCCCCGAGGGGCCGCCAGCCGGCATTGTCCGGCCGACGGCACCCGGAGGAGGCCCAACCTGTGAGATCTCGAACTTTGTTGTTTTCCGGAGAAACTATACATGTAAACTTTTTTTAAAAAAATAAATAAAATAGGTTTTGCCTTTCTGTCGTCTCACTTAAAATATGTGATTATATTTGTGATGTTCATCTGAGTATGTTTTGTGGAAGAAATTTATACTTGGGCAATTTAAATGTTAATAAGTCTGAAGACTGGAGCAGAATGATTACAATGAAAGAATAAGCAAAATCTTCCTTCCCATCGTCAAATGACTCCCTTCCTTCCACTTGCTCTCACTTCTGCACTTCAGGCAGAATATTGGTGTAGTGGTGTATACTGCTGCAATATGTTATACATGGTATGGCTACTGATATCACTAGATTAACTATGGATGTAGTGATGGTATTGTGTTGGTTTGATATAAATTAACTCCTCTCACGTTTTCTTTTTCTGACATTTTTAATCAAAGGAAAAATCAGTAACCTATTATTTGTTTTTTTTTTTTGCTTTTTAAGACTGACACTTTGTCTGCTCTTATTCTGACGCCAACGAGAGAATTAGCTATACAGATAGAGAAGCAAGCTAAAGAGCTCATGATTGGTCTGCCGAATATGAGAACCGTTCTTCTGGTTGGAGGATTGCCTTTGCCGCCCCAGCTTCATCGCCTGAAGCAAAACGTTAAGGTAAATCACGTTATGTTCACAAGGTGAGCCAATGAATAGGGATAGCAACTAAGTCTGCCAATGAGGACTAATTGGACTCGGAAACAGTATTTGCTGTGTGAGCGACAAGGAGACAGGAAGGAGCCTGGCTTAGCTGAGAACTGAAAGTGAAACTGCTTGTGTTTTGCTTGTATTGACTGCTACATTGGAAAACCTGCTTTTGGTATTGTATTGTATATTATTATTATTATTTTGAATCCTGCTGAATCAGTTACTTGTGTGTGCTTTCGGGATGTAATTGCCACTGCAAATTCTGACCAGCCAAGTCAGCTTCAGCACTTATTGCAGCCTGATTTAGCACAGCTAATTGGCAGGTGGATGGACTACCGGAATACCCCCAATCAGCTGTTCCAGGCTGCA